AGTTTATAAACCTTTTTTTATCTTTTGAGCTATTTTTAAACAATATTTTATCTCTCGATAAATTTCAAACAGTATTCTATCTCTCAAGCAATTTTTAACAACTTTTTTTATCCCTCGAGTAATGTTTTTACAATATGTTTTGTACAATTTTTACTATTTAATCATTCGAGTAATTTTGAACAGCATTTTTACCTCTCAAGCTATTTTTAAACAATATTTGATCTCTCGTGCAATTTTTGAGCAAAATTTTAACAATTTCTTACACTATTTTATCTCTCGAGCAATTTTTAAACCTTTTATTTTATCTCTTGAGCTATTTTTAACGATATTTTATCTTTAGATAAATTTCTAACATTATTCTATCTCTCGAGGAATGTTTAACAACTTTTTTTTTATCTTTTTAGCAAACTGCACAATATTTTAACTCTCGATAAATTTTTAACAATGTTTTATGACTCTAGCAATTTTTAACAACTTCTTTTATCTCTCGAGTAATGTTTGTACAATATTTTATTTCTCGAGAAATTTCTAGTAGTATTTTATCGTTCGAGGAATTTTTAAACAATGTTTTATCTCTAGAGAAATTTTTAACAGTATCTCTCGAGTCAATTTTAAACAATATTTTATTTCTCAACAAATTTTTCAACAGTATTTTATTCCTCGAGCAATTTTTAAACAAGGTTTTAACATTTTGTAATACTACTTTACCTCGAACAATTTTTGAACATGATTTTATTTATAATACTATTTAATCTCTCAAACAATTTTTAATTTTTTTTTATCTCTCATTAAATTTTTAACAGTATTTTTATCCCTAAAGCAATTTATGAACAATATTTTACCCCTCAATCAATTTCTAATACTATTTTATCCTTCGATCAATTTTTAACATCCTTTTTTACCTCTCAAGCTATTTTTGAACAATATTTGATCTCTCGTGCAATTTTTGAACAATGTTTTTATCTCGAGAAATGTCTATTTTATCTCTGAAGCAATTTTTAACAAACTATTTTAATTTCTCTGGCAATTTTTAAACAATATATTTTACACTTCAAATGGAACATACGCTGAAAAAAGTACTAGATTTTTCTTAGAGTGTACTAGAGTACCAGATTCTCAAAGAATGTACTAGATCTAATACAATTGTACTAGACTGGCAACACTGGTTTCAATCTAGGCACCGTGAATAGATTATTTCAACGGAAGACATCTTGAAGTTGCAAGGTCATTGGAAGTTCTTTGCGCCATATATAAGTTTACATAACAACTAATAAAATAAAAAAGAAAACTAAATTATTTTGGCATTCTGTCTAAAGTTACGGCGGCGTCAGCATAAATTTCTTCTTTTTTTCTTGCCTTCTTCTTTAGTTGTATGGGCTCATTTTTACTCTCACTATCGCCAAGATCTGGAATCTAGTTATACTGGGATCTAGATCTACATAGAGTAAGTGTTCTATGGTCTACATGGCTTGCTAAGCGCGCGTTAGGATTTTTGTTAAATTAAAACCTTTTTTTAATGGGTATCGGCTGCATTACCCAACAAAACGGTTTGAATTTTTTCAGTATTTTTGTTAAGGTGAGTACAGCACCCCCTTATAATTTTCGGACAAGCATATCTCAAAAAGCAATTTTTTTTAAAAGGTAAAATTTTGGCATAATAAATTAGGCAATAATATCTAGAATATGCTTATATTTTAAAATTTTAATTATTTTCAGTTTCTAAGAAAAAAAATTATAGGGCTTTAAATTTTGAAATATCATAATGAAAATAAATGCATTCCTCAACAGCACTATTCTTAATATAATCCCCAAATTTAAGCTCTTAATCTCTTGTTAATAATTTTTTAAAATTCGCCGAAATTAGTGGCTGAAACGCCTCGTTAAGTGCTATTTTCTGGTTTAAACTGGTGTAAACTGGTGTAAATCATTGCAAGAAACGAATGATGACTCAGAGTGTACGATACGATAGTTACAGTCGCGTTAGACCAGAAAGCAGCACTTAACGAGGCGTTTTAGCCACTAATTTCGGCGAATTTTAAAAAATCATTAACAAGAGATTGAGAGCTTAAATTTGGGGATTATATTAAGAATACTGCTTTTGAGGAATACATTTATTTTCATTATGATATTTCAAAATTTAAAGCCCTTTTATTTTTTTCTTGGAACCTAAAAATAATTCAAATTTTAAAATATAAGCATATTCTAGATATTATTGCCTAATTAATTATGCCAAAATTTTAACTTTTAAAAAAAATTACTTTTTGAAATAGGCTTGTCCGAAAATTATAAGGGGGTGCTGTACTCACCTTAACAATGAAGATATAAAAAATATTTCGAGTAATATGTGTGTGTAAAATGAATATTTAATTCATCCTCTAAAACCTTACAGGGGTGTACAATAGTTTGTATAGAATAACCAAAATATATGACATAATGGGCCCGTTCACTTTTATTTTTGAATGTGAATTATTTATATATTTATAAAGATATTAAACTCTTTTGTCTGGTGGTACTTTTCCCGTTAAGATATTTTTGCTAGAAGTAAGGGAATTCCCATAAAATTCTTTCAGTGACTCATTGCGTCAGAAAACCCCTAATTCCCTTCAGGTCTCGTATCGGTTAATAGTTAAAAGGGCGCGGTTGTCGGATGTATCATTGCACCACCATTCCTCTTCTGCATTTATTAAAGAAATTTACATGATAAAAATATATTATTTTTTAAAAATAATGTGTTTATATTTTCAGATAAAGCTGGAAGCCCTACCTTTTTTAAATTTTAATAAAAACAATTAGTATTACTCAAGCTGAATATTACCAGATCGAAATTTTATTTGAGAAAATGTATCTGGTAAACGTGACAACGTTGTAAGTACTTCTAAATAGTGTTGTCTACACACACTTCTAGAAATAAATGCAACGTTGCCACGTTTACCAGATAAATATTGCAAATCAAATTTCTACTTTTTGATTATGGTCTGGTTAATTTTCAGCCTGAGTAATAATAATTGTTTAAATTAAAAAGTAAAAAATAAGCTCCAGCTTTAAATCTGAAAATACAAGTTCATGATGTTTAGAAAAATAATGGAATTTTACTATTTAAATTACATATATAAATGCAGAAATGCTATATTAGGGATACTTCCGACAACCCCGCCGTCTTTAAGCATAACCGATGCGAGACGTGAACGGAATTAGGGATTTTCTGACGCAATGAGTCACTGAAAGAATTTTATGGGAATTCCCTTACTTCTAGCAAAAATATCTTAACGGGAAAAGTACCACCAGACAAAAGAGTTTAATATCTTTATAAATATATAATTAATTCACATTCAAAAATGAAAGTGAACGGGCCCATTTACATAGGTATAGGTCTGTATATGGCATGGACTTACCTTATTAGGTGTTAGGGTATTTGAAAGAATAGTTTTATACAATGTGTTCAATTTAAGTCGGCGCACAATATATGGGAAACTTTATTGTTAGTTTTATAGAAAAAAAGGTTTTCTTTATAAAAAGTTTTGCATGGTCTAAAGCTGAAAATACAACCATCAGGTATTAAATTTTTAAGTCGTGGTGCATCAGTACATAATAATACATAAAAACAATGATAAATACATCTATTCACTTTGAAATTTAAAGTAGTAAACAAAAGGTGCACACCTACCTTTTAACTTTACTTTTCATCATTTTCTTTGTGTTTATAAGCTAGTATTTTGAAAATAAATGCAAAAAATAATTTAAAAACAACACCAGAGATTGTAACCTCAATTTGTTTTATGTTCTTACAAATTTTGACATGATACATGACACATGACTAAGAAAAATAAGACTCTGGGACCTGGCACTAAGTAGATAAAGATGGTGAAAAACTGGGCACATACAACTAATGAAGAAGACAAATAGAAAAAAAAAAACGAATACCGACGGCGTAACCTTAAACAGATTGCCAAAATAATAATTTACAGTGTTCTTTTTTATTTTATTAGTTGTTATGTACACATATAGATGGCGCAAAGATCTTCCAATTACCTTGCAACTTCAAGATGTCTTCCGTTGAAATCATCTATTGCGGCCAAGTAAGAATGGCAACCCAAACTTGTTAAGTTCATTACATATATAAATTACATTTTATTCTAATGTTTCTAATTTTCTGTTGTTTATGTGACGTTAATTAATTTTTTCCATAATATGCTGATTTTAAGAAAATTCTCATACAAATAAATTTTAATAAAATCACTTCATCAACGCTCTGAATACATAAGCGCATTTGACGCTATTAGCCTTTGTTCGGCTTACTTTTGAGGACGGTTTAAAATCGTTATAATTATGCGCATTTAAATTTACGTGTTCGGGTTTCTCCAAATCTAGTCCTAGGACACTTTAGGATTGACTGTTTTGTGTGTAATTTAGTGCGCAATTAATTTCACGCAGTTCTGAATCGTTCTGAAACGTTATAAAATTGGTAAGCCGAACAAAGCTATTATTACTAACCACACGCTGTAAAGGCATGCGCTCTTTTAGCCACACGCTTGTTATTCACGAGCTTTTAAGGGAAAACGCTATTTTATGACGCGCTCTTTTGTCGAAGCTCTATAAGCTCCGCGCTATTTTGTCCAACGCCATTCTTCAAAAACGCTCTTTTTTAACAGAGCTTACCTAAAGTCATTAATCTACTTCAACAAAGCCAGAATTAGACATTAAATTAATCAAATCACTCCAGAAATATAACAAACTGTTTTACAAGAATTTTAACGTCTCTTTATTGTCAAGAAAAACAGCATATGGTCTAAATTATTTTTGTTAAATTAAAAAGGAATTTAGAGGGGTACTTACTTCTCCAAGGGGTGAGACCTGGGGAGTCAAACATTTTAGATTTAGATATTAAATTAAAAATCCGTCTGTTTCAGAATTTTCTCTACAAATCATATTAATTTTAGATGACAAATGAATTTATCCTTTACTTCAGGAGCTCACTGAACAATTTATTTTACTATTTTTAGACCTAAAATCGTGTCGTCCCAAAATTGGAACGACTGCGAAAGTATCCAAGATGCAATTTCGCTGGAAATGGAACCCATAAAACCGAAACTTTGGATTTTAGATAAAGGAAACGACAAATGTTTGCCAAAAGTTTTGTCATACAGTTTAGTTTTTAATAATATAGCTGAAAGTACGGAGCTTTCGAAAATTGATGGGACAAATTTGAATATTTTGGTAATCGACCCATTTCTTGAGGATGAATTAGGACATAGAGCGTATATAGGAAATGTTGGTAGGTACAGAAGCCGAAGTTTATAAATGATCAAAGAAAGCATTCATTATTTGTCTTTAATTTAAAGTTACCTTGTCTTTTTGTATAATTTGATGCTTTTATAAAAATATTCGTCGCTTAATAGTACATTTTATTTAGTTTTTAGTTATATTTTTATTTTTAGAGGAACACGTTTTATTAATATTTTCTTTAAGAAAGCTAATATGGTGGAAAATTTATTTATCAGAGCCAAGCATATTTTCCATTCCAATTCGAACAGATTTTTTGGCTATTTCTAAAGTCAGTCCTGAATTGTTCATAACTGGAAAAGACCAATTGGATGTATTTAGCCTGAATCTGGAACCAATCAGACAAATGGAAGAACCATTGGCGTATGAAGTAGAGGTAATTATTATTTTCCTTATGAGACATTCAGACGCATGCGCTATTAAAAAAGACATTTTTGAATTGAAAATAGCAAATTGTCATATTTGTGGCAACAGTTTTTTTGTGAATTTAAAGACAAAATTTGAATTTTCTTATTACCATGTGAGTACTAAGTTAGGTACCTCTACTTACTTAAACGATGAGACCTTTCGCCGTAAGAGCTTCGGAGAGTTAACCTTCACTCCACGTTTCCCCTCTATTTCTTTTTAGTTCCTCTTTTCCAACAATTTATCTTCTTTACAAGCTTCTCGACTTCTTTCACTTCTATCGGTTTTATAAGTTCATCCTCCCATTTTTTTTTACTTTTCTCGTTTCATAGACTCTTTTCTCTGTTTCTTTTACTGATATCCAGGGCCGTTGAGCGCCATGGTGGGCAAAACACTGGCAAGGGCCCGCCCTCACATATTATAAAGCTGCCGGGCTCCCCTTGGGCCCAGGCCCCGGGGATTTTGCCCTCTGCCCCTCCTCTCGTTGGACCTGCTGACATCCTAATTACGTGACCCAGCTTACCTAATTATCGTTCCACTATATGGTCTCAATGTGTTACAATATCAACATTTTGCAGTTAAAAAGCGAGCATTGAAAATTCAACAACAGCCTCTTTATTCTCCTGATCTGGCTTACAGTGATCGTTGGTAATGTCCCAAATAATAAGGATTTAATTTTTAAAAGTACTTAATTTTTAGGACATTTTGTTGTTATATAATGCTACACATAGAGGCGAGAAATTAGCTACCTCCACTGGAATTGTATCAGATAGTGATTCAGGGCTTACATATTTCATGGAAAAGGATTATGCTATTGTAAGATGGGATACAAGGTAAGCTCAAAGGCCTTTTAATTAAAACAACTATAAGTAAAATATATATTTTCTCATTTACAGACTTCCCCTACAAGCAGAATACCATCAAGTACTTTTCCAATCTTACCAAAACTTTCCATATATATCGGGATTCTTGACAGATTATCAAGATTCTATTTGGGCGTTGGTGAATCCAGTGAGTCCCATGGAATGCGATAATACAGATATTCTAACTCTGGATGCTAGAGCAGTTCGAATTTTAAAATACAATAAATTTACGAAAGAGATAGAAATAGAGCAAATAGATACAGAGTTACAGTCAAGTGATCATTCTGGATTAGAAACAATCAAAGTGCAAGAGTCAGATATTCAAAGTGATATTGAAAATAAAGAATTTAAAGATGTTGAAAATACAGTTAACGAAAATGAAAGCAAAAACGAAGAAGAAATCGAGGACAACAGCGTAGGTGAAGAACAAATTGGAGAAATATTTGAAAAACCAAATGAATCGGTCCTTGAAACAGTTATGAAGTTAGATCAAATGACAGAATCAGAATTGGAAAAAGCATTTATGAATTCCGATCTGGAATCAGATTTAATTCAAAATATAAATAAAAAAGCTAAATATATAAAATATGACAATGAAGAAGTTAAAGGAGAACACAAAGAAATTAAAAAAGACAAAAAGCTTGAAAAATACGATAAAGCAATTGACGAAGAAGACAAAGATGTTACAGAAGAAGATGAAGAGATTGAAGAAGAAGAGGCATCAATGTCTAAAAATGGAGAACTCGCTTCAGAAGAAGAACCAGAATTGATAAAGCCAAAACAAGCGCCAGAGACAAATATGGACATAAATGCCGATATTGGGAAAAATAAAGAAATTGAAGATGAACCAAAAGAGGACTTTGAGGAAAAAGAAGATCCATCAAATGAAACTGTATATTTAAAAAAAGATTACAAAAAGTTGCCCCATAAAAATTTGGTAAAACATTTAGTAGAAGCCGAAATTGAAAAAGATGCTTTAACAAAAAATACTGAAGATTATTACGACGATAATGATGAAAAAGCAGATGAGGAAGTGGAAGAAATAGGAGAAGAAGAAGAAGAAGAAGAAGAAGACAGAATAATTGAACAAGAGATGGAGACTCCTACTGGGAAAATTACAGAGTTAGATTTTGTACAACAAGAGCCTATCTTAGCGTCAACATATAAATCAAAAACAGAATCAGAGGTAAATGAACAAACAGAAAGTGAAGAAAATGATGATATGGAGAGACAAAAAGATACGAATACAGAATCGGTACACGAGTCAGAGCTAGACGAAGATGAGGACTATGGCCAAAGCTTTGAATCTCTAGCTCAACCAGATCTAGTAGACTACTCAGAGTCTGATTCAGAATAACATAATAAATAGATTTACTTACTACGAAGTGGTTTTTATTTACTATTTCTATAAATAAAATCAAATTCATAATTTTATCCCTTGAAAATAATTTTAATTATTTTATACCCACACGGGTACGAAAACACAAAAAACAGGTTTTGGTTAATTTTTTAATAACCTTATTAAAATTAAAAAATATGAAATTAAATTATTATGTAAATATCTGCTTAAAATTATTTTGTCCAATTCACATTAAAATGGCTATTCTTGAAGGATCCGATCATATTTATATTGTCTACCAAATATTTATTTATCTGGTTAATAAAATCAAATTAAATTTTAGGATTTTTTTTAAATATTTATAATATGCTTGCAATAACGAACTAGTTAGACATAAAAAATGTATTGGACCACACCCCAAGTCACCTAACATGTAGCTGATACCTTGATACATATATGACAATTAAATTAAAGATAAAATAAGAAGTACTTGGGCAACATACTGAATGTACGAGTGTCACATATATAATACTTAAACTATGTTGAATACAAAAATGGTGGGCAGATGTTTGTGTTACACCTCTTGTGTATATTAAAAATTTATTAGAAGTGGTTGAATGTTACCATTTCATTCCGCCCTTTTCAGACAATAATTATTAGTTACTTGAACTCCATTTTGGGATAGGTACCTAAAATTTTTTCATTGGTAGGGGTATAGAGATATATCAGTTTTATTTTTAATATAAAATTAAAGAAGTTGTTTCTAATATGGCAAATAAAACTGGATTCAAAAATAAAAAAAATAGTTTTTTGTGTTTCAAGGCCGTAAAGTTGATCTTTTCTGACCGAATCAGATATTTGCGGCCGAGACCAAACAACTTCTGGTAAGGACAAAAAAGATCATACGGCCAGGCAGATTTAATAGTTTTTTTAATTTCTTATTTCTGAAATGAAAGAATTGCTTCAAATTTTTATTGATGGAATGAAAACGCACTGTTAAGTAATAAAATTTGTACATAATTACTAAAGATGTATGAAAAACTTGTGTTTATAAAAAGCGGCCGTAAAGTAAATTAGGTAAAAAAAGTGACACTTTAGAGATGTTAATAAATCCGTAAAATGTTATTTTTGTGATAGTCGCCTCAAAAAATTATTGGACACAATTTGTCAACAAAAAATCAATTAAATAAAATTTGCTATAGTCTATTTTTATGTATGAGAAAGTATTAAAATAATAAAGCGTTCGTAATCCATAGGCGTACCAATTCTTGTAGTAGACAGTTAAAATATTTTTTGAAGTTATTCCTCGAGTATACACTTATATTTTCACCTAATTAACCTGCTTATAACTTCTAAACAGCTGAAGGTAAAAAAGTGCAATTTTTTCTAAAATATTTTATTTTTCCACAAGGTATGTTAAGATCATTGTGTCAAAAGGGTTATGTAGGTATAAGGGTTTAAACTTTGACTTTTAAACAACGTTACGTTCATAAATAATAATGTTAATATAAAAACTACTTCTTACCTACAAATCCAAATCAGAATTGAAATCAGGAGATGAACTGTCGCAACCAATATTTACAATGAGTGGCTCGATCATTTCATCAGTAATATTGTCCAACTTCCACATTTTCTCTTCTTCTTTAATCGTATGATTTACTGCCTTTTCCCAGTTTTCAGGCTTCACATTATTTACAGCCTCCAAAAACAACTGTTTAACATCACTCATTTTAAAAGAATAATTTTTTCTTGAAACTTCTCCCTTTATCTGTGCCCATATCAGTTCAATCGGCTTTACTTCGCAATGATATGGTGGTGATCTAACCACCGTCATCCCACGATTTTTTGCAATTTCATCTATTTCATATTTTTTGAATTTCTCTTTATGAAGGGAACACAAATGATACAGTTCTTTTCTCACAGAACCGGGATGGAACTTAATATTCTTTGAATTTAGCCAATTGTGTAAATCTTTTTTTAACCACTTGGTTGTGGGCATTTTTTCTATAAGTCTCGAGTGATAACTTGCATTATCCATTACTATTATACAGTTCTGAGGAAGAAGATCTATAATTTGTTCGAACCACTCTTTAAAGATATCAGCATTCATGTCCTCATGGTAGTCACCGGTACGAGTAGATTCAAAAGTAAATAAACCACCTTTAACAAAACCGTTTGAACTACCGATGTGTACTATTATTAGTCTGCGCCCCTTTCCTGATGGTGGATTTAAACCAATAGATAAATTATTTAAAAAAGCCTGTCTTCGACTTGCAACAGTTTCATCTTGCCTAAATTTATTTGGTTTATGTCCCTCGTTGATCCATGTTTCACCTAAATAAAATATATTTCTTCTTTGATTTCTCATTTCTTTTATAGTCCTTAGGTAATTTCTTCTCCATACTACAATATCGCTTCTTTCTATTAAAATAGAGTTTCTGGAATGCTTTTTCCATAGAAAACCTATTTCTTTTAAAAGTTTCCATAGTGTGCTTCGACTCATTTCAGGGTAATCCTTATCATCTCGAACCGTGGCAAGAACTCTGTCTACTGTCGGAAATTCTTTTCTAAATAAGAACGCATGCACTTTCCTTCGAAGTCTTTCTTTCAAAAGATTTTCTAATTGAAATTTTGGTTTTCCTGGAGCTTTACGTGCTGTTTGAAACTCGCCACATTTCTCTTCTTTAACAACTCTGTAAATCGTAGATTTCCCAACACCAAGCGTACTACTAATTCCACTGTGTCATCAACACTTTTACATAAATGTTTGTCTGTAAATGATTTAAAACAATTAAATATTAATGTTTTTTCATTAACTGTTAAAGGACCGATTTTTTGTCGTTTACGCGGCCCTTCCAAATTTTCCATGACCACACTAGAATTCACACTGCACCTTGCAAGTTGCAACTAAACGACATTTAGTAAACTGTCAAGAATACACAACTTGGACCTCCTTACTAAATGGAAAACCTATAATCGCATTTTCTGTGAAATTTGTTGGGAAGGTATTTATCTACTTATAATTCGAACACTGTAAGAAATTATTGGAATTAAAATAAAACAAAATTGGCAAATAGGTACTTATTGAAAATAATCTTAAGATGCGGCTATGTAATCTTTAATACACAGGGCTTTTGGCCTGTCCAAACCTTTTTCTATTGTTCTGTACAGCTTATGTTTATAAAGGTCCAATAAAAGACCCAAAACTTGTAATAGCTCAGGTACATTTATTACAATTTTAGGAAATATTTAGATTATTCTGTAAAAATATTTAAAATGACCGTACTAAGTTTTGCATTAGAAATGCTGTTTTATTACTCTCTCATACATAAAAATAGACTATAGTGGAATCCCTTCTAAGTATATTAAATTTTTTGAGGTGTTCTAAATAAATATACTCTTATTGGGAACTTATAAAGGGACTAGTTTTCAATATCTTTGCACTCAAAGGTGGATACTCTTTATTTTAATTTATTTTAAAATTTTGATATTAAATTTTTTTAACAAGAGTACATGATTTATTAAAAAAAACATCAAAAAATTTAAAATTATAGTTTTCGGACAGTGGCGTAAAATTTATGATGAAGGTGTTACTTACCCATGCCGTACGCCACTGACAAAATCTATTTAATTGATTTTTTGCTGATAGGTGTATCTTATCCCGAATTCAGTAAAATTATACTATGTATTAAAAAAATTACAACCCATAGTAATTTTTAAATTTTCAACTTTATCACCCTGTATTTCGGAAAGGAGTAACATTTTACCCTGGATTTTACCTAAGCTTGTTTCGTTCAATCGCCCTATTTTTAATTAGAGAATTGTTCTTATACTGCTACCTTACGGAGAGAATCAAGAACTGTTAAAAATCTCATTCCAAATCACGATCGCGATAGAAACCTACTTTACTGCTGTGAAAAGTGAGAACTGTTGTAGTGTTGCAAACACTCGAGAGGGCGAGAGAAATGAGAAGAATAATTTAATTTTTTTAACATTGTAACGATTTGTATTGATGATTGATGCTATGCTGTTATTTAACTCAGATTTCATGCTGTAAACCGAAGAAAAGAAGATTATTTGAAATATGTTTGTATATTTTTTTTGTGATGCAACTCTCGCAAAATAACACATAGAAACGTTAATAGCTCGGTTTAAAATAAGGAAAGATATTGGACATGTCGGACATCGTTGTGAACGTGAACGACAACGTCGTTGTAGGCATAAAAATAGAAAAAAGGTTGTAGGTAACTAAAATTTATATATTTAATCAGGAATTGTGTTATCAGCGGTTGATGAGATTCTCAACTTGAGAATAATTGAAAATTGATATTTTATTTTTCAGTAATAAGAGGAAGTGTTTTGTTCCATTTTATTTTTCTTTCTTTTTTCGATTTACTTTTTTTCATACTTAGTCTGTCCATACAAAAGCGTAGAACCGCCACAATTTTTTTTAATTTCCGGAATTTCGGGACTTTTGGAATTCGGAGTAAGGACTTCAGAAGACTGAATTCACAATTCTGACTCTCGATATTGAATCAAGACCTCGATTAAACTTGAGATAGAGCACAATTTGTCAGCGGAAAAGAAGACAACTAGTTACTTGAAAAAAATTATAACAAAATGTGATTTAGAAACAAGAGGATCCTTTCTCAGGTTCTGATCTTGCAAATCAAAATATATTTTATATAATCCAAGGGGTTTGCAAGAGTACCTACATGTGGCACATACTTGCTACAAACTTTTACAAATTACCTGAGGCTAAGGCGTTTTAACCGAAATTAATATTGCTATGAAGAATGTTAATAACTTTTTATCTTTCTTCTGTTAATACCGTCGAAAAAGGCAATAGAAATTGTCTTTGCTTTCTTTTTCATTCTCAAGATCGAAACTCTATTAGTTATTAATTCTTTAGGGTTGAACAGATGAATTCATTTTTTTTGTACCGTTTAATTTTACATTAAATTTAAAAATCACAGTATTTTTTAATATAAAATGAAGAGACCTTTCAACTCGTCATTCGAATGGTGTTGAAGGTAGGGGTGAAATTTTAACGTCGCAGGATGTCATTTTATAATCTTAAATTGACGTATTTTGAGATTTTTTACAAATATGCACAGTAATTATTGAGCTACGGAATTTAT